GGAAATGGGAGATGGGGAGGAGGCGGAAATTTTTAATAATAATAATAATATACAAACTGGGGCTGGAGAGATGGCTCAGAGGTTAAGAGCATTGCCTGCTCTTCCAAAGGTCCTGAGTTCAGTTCCCAGCAACCACATGATAGCTCACAACCGACTATAATGGGGTCTGGTGCCCTCCGCTGGCCTGCAGGAATACACACAGACAAAATATTGTATACATAGTAAATAAATAAATATTAAAAAAAGATACAAACTGCTAATATGTTCATTTAGCAGTGTGACTGAATTGTTGACTGAGTGCAAGAAGCCAGACAGGAAAGCAAACTCCAAATGAAGTTCTAGGACATACAAAAACAATCTGTAGTGGGAGAATACAGCTTGGTGGAGAGGGTATGTACCGCCCTTGACCACGGTGATCCCTCTTTGTGGCATTCATATCCTACAATTTACCAAAAATTTCCCTTTTAATAAGTGCAGTTTTCAAAACTTTTTATATTTTGTGTGTTTACCTGTATGTATGTGTATCACATGCATGCTTGCGTGTCAGCTGTATCTCAGTAAAACTGCTTAAAACCAACCAGTTTGAGCCAGATGGTGCCTTGTGTAGACCCATCTACTCAGAAGTCAGAGGGATTTTATGAGCACAGGAATTCAAAGTGAGTCAGGACAATAAAAAGTGTCAGTCTGTGCCTCCTCCCCACATAAAGGGTTAGTTTGGATGGAGGAGTTAGAATTGACCAGGCTGTCTGTATTGAGGTTGAAGAGTTGAGTGTAGGCAAAGCTTGGGACTGAGAGTTGAACAAGTCATTCTAAGCTCTGGAGTAGGGAGCATGGATTGGCAGCAGGGCAGGGCGGGGAGATGGCTGTGTGCTCCGGACCTCAGCAGTCAGGCGCTGGAAGGAGCAGTGAAGAAGAGGAAGGCAGCTGGTCTTCCTTCCCTCTGAGGTTTGGGGGTGTGAGGAAAAGCCTGTCTACACCCGGACCTTCGGCGAGGCAGCTTTCAGAGAGGCTGGGCAGATACTGTCACCCTGCCAACGGTGTCGTCTCTGCACCTGATGTTTTCCTGAACACTGAGCAGGAACAAGCAAAACCCCCAGAGGCCACCAGACAGGCTTCCACAGAACTCCCCAGGGACTAATTTGCCAAAGAGAGTTGGAGAAACAATACTCTTCCTGACTTGATGGGCCAGCACATACAGGTGCCAGAGCAGAACACATGTTATGACTCTTTGAGACAGGATGATGTTGCTGGTTGGGCATCCAGTCTGTGGGTGTGAGGAGGAGCAAGCACCTGGGAAGCCCTTTTTGGCCAGGATCAGCAACACAGATCTGTGATGGTGCATTTATCATGCAAAGCCCATGTCCCCTACCCCGTGAGGCCACAGGGCAGGAGAGCTTGTCTCAGTGGAGCCTTGCTCCCTTCCTCCTATGACTGCCAGGTGATGGAGGATAGCAGGTGATGGAGGTAGCAGGTGATGGAGGGTAGCAGGTGTTGAAGGGTAGCAGGTGATGGAGGGTAGCAGGTGATGGAGGGTAGCAGGTGATGGAGGTAGCAGGTGATGGAGGGTAGCAGGTGTTGAAGGGTAGCAGGTGTTGAAGGGTAGCAGGTGATGGAGGGTAGCAGGTGATGGAGGGTAGCAGGTGATGGAGGGTAGCAGGTGATGGAGGTAGCAGGTGATGGAGGGTAGCAGGTGTTGAAGGGTAGCAGGTGATGGAGGGTAGCAGGTGATGGAGGGTAGCAGGTGATGGAGGGTAGCAGGTGATGGAGGGTAGTTTTCTTTCAACCAACTGGGGGTGCAGTTTTCTTTCATCTGTCTATGGGGTCTGCAGTATTTTTTCTCTTTATTTTCTCCCTCCTCCCTTTCTGGTGCTGAAGAAGAAACCCAAGGCCTTGCGACACACCTTTTCTTCCATTGAGCCCCCTGCCCTCTGCATCCTTTCAGTGCTGTGCCTGTTACCAATGCTTCTTTCTCTCCCCGTTTTCTTACTCAACTAGAGTATGCATTAACCCAGCTAACCTTCTGGGTCTAGTCCTCTAAAATTGCCCACCTCAGAGTGTATCATTGTGGCTTCCCAGGACCTTTGAATCAGGCAGAAATTACAAGCTGTAGCTTCTTGTGGGGAAGATCAGAACAGTGGGTTTTCCCGCGACAGGTACGGGCTTAGACCCTGGCAGGGCTCCGCTAGCAGAGGTGGGCAGTGCACGGTGATGTGGAGATAACCGCACGGCTCACTGTCCTTTCTCTCCCGGCAGCACCGATGTCTTCATCTGCACGAGCCCCATCAAGATGATCAAGTACTGTCCCTATGAGAAGGTAAGGAGTCCATCCCAGGAGGGGGCTGCTGTGTGGCACAGGGCCCCGTCATGGTGCTCCCTGCCTCTCTGTACCAGCCGGAGGCTCTGTCTCATGTGCTGGATGGACGTGTGACAAGCTAGGTGGGAAGGGTACCTGTCACACTTATCAGATATGCCTGGTCCAGGAAAGTGTTTAAGGAGGGGTCAGAAGCTCAAGGACATCCCTGCGTGAACAGAGTCCACTCATTCATTCCCACACTCACACCTGTGGTTCTGGGACTGGAACTCACCTGCCAGGGAAGTGCTCCGCCACTTAGTGCCATCCTTAGGCTTATGTGAAAAGTCTGACCAAGAGCTGGTGTGGTGGGCTAAACTGTAATCCCAACACTCAGTAGGCTGAGACAGGGGGATTGCTAATCCGGGCCTGCCTGTGCTACATAGTAAATTTGAGGCCAGTTTACTATGAAATTGTACTACAGTGAAATTGTTATGCTTCCCTCCCCCCCAAAACAAAACAAAACAAAACAAAACAGAAAGAACATCTAAGCAAGGAAATGTGAGTTTTTTTTTCTGTGAGCTCCTTTGTCTAATGAGAGAAGCAGAGTGGTAGCAGTGGGGAGCTCTCTGCACATTAGAAGCTGCAGGCTGTGCTCTGCAGGGAGGATTGGACCCCACACCTTGCGGTTTCTCAGATGCTGCTATGGACTCAGGAAGCTGGCCTCCCATCTTCATACTGAGAGCTTCTGAGCATCTCCATCTTCCTTTTCACACATCTGCCGTCCTCGCCTGGAGTTGTTTGTGTGCCCTGCTCCAGGAAGAGCCCACACTCAGGCTGTTACTGTGGGTTATGTTGCCGGGTCAGCTGGTGGTCATCCTGACCCCTTTGAACTTTCAAGGCTAAGCTCATTTTAGCCCAAGGGAGTGGGTGTTCAAGCCACAGCTCCCAGGGGTGGAGTGAGGAGCGAAGGCTGGGTCCTCTCTTCATATCAGGGCACCAATCCACAAAGGAGGTTCTGGACCAAATAGGGACTGGTTAGAAACGGACATTTCAGTAACATTGACCTTTAGAGTTAGAAACTCTGGGAGTGGCGCTGTGGTCTCAGCCAACTTGCCAGGTGGTTCTGCTAGACCCCTAAACTTGAGCCACTAAGGTCAAGTGGTTGGATGACTGGCCAGTACAGGCACCCTGGTTGGCTGTCAGAATCTACAGACACTTGAGTTTCTTGATAGAAACTCTGGTGGTATTTACACATCTCCCCGTCCTTGAGTACTGAAGCCATCCCCAGGTGACTCCAGTACCTCATGCAGTTATGCGTACCTTTGCTGCAGTTGACTCCAGTACCTCATGCAGTTATGCGTACCTTTGCTGCAGTTGACTCCAGTACCTCATGCAGTTATGCGTACCTTTGCTGCAGTTGCTCTACAGTTTTGCATAGGGAGCGATGATGAGAACGTCTGTAAAAGTTCAGTTTAGCTGCGGTTCCTGGTTTTCATTGCCCATGCTGTGCCTCGTGCTGTATACCGGCTCTACTAGCAGTGTGCTCTTCCCCTGGCCTTCCTCTGGCCCTCCATGTAAAATGGATCCGGTTTCCTGTGGATTCTGTTTCTAAAACATGTCTGGCATCTTTCAGCTTCTCTTATTGCTGCCACTTTGAATTTCTTTGAAGAACTAATGAGCCCTCACTAATGGATCATGTTCAGCCCCATACTAATTTCTTCCCTGTAAAAAGCCTGGCCCCACAGCCTGCCTGGCTCTTTCCCTCTGAGGAGCCCCCACCCTTCTGCGTTTTATGCTGTCCTCGACTTGTAGTGTGGTTCAAATGTGAAACACCCTCCTTAGACTCATGTGACCACTTAGCTTCTGGTTTGTGGTGCCGTTGTGAGAAGTTGTGGAGCCTTTAAGATATGGGGTCTGGCTGATGGATATGGGTTACTAGGGGCAGGTTTATGGGCTGGAAAACCCTCTTCCAACCTGATATTCTCATATCTCTGTTTCCTGGTGCACCCAGATGTGAGTAAGCTTTCCCATGCCTTCCCTGCCATGATAAATTGTGTGTCCTCAAACCATGAGCCAGAACCGATCCTTTCTTCCTAAGTTTGTTCTTACAGGTTCTTCACTGCACTGACAAACAAAGTAACCAATGCAGTTAGCAACGTCCCTCTCATCTGCACGCCTCTGGTCAGATGCTCACCGCATTTGCCTTGTCCCTCTCCTCTGCACGCCTCTGGTCAGATGCTCACCACATTTGCCAACCGCCATCTCTGACGTTCATTCATTCTCTATGTCATAGCAGAGGCATAGCTGTCTTGGCCCTGGTTTCCTGTACACCACTCAGAATGGCTCTTCTTGTTCCGGAATTATTTTTTGTCTCTTACCAGACTGAGATCTGCGAAGGTGCTAGCTGTTTTCTTCCTCAGTACAGAACTAGGCACCTGAGGACCACTTGAATAGATCTACTGTCCAACAGAGAACTATCAAAAATATTTCAAAGTATTTTTGAAACTCATACATGAGTATTTATAAATTTCTACCCGTCCTCCCCTTCCAGCACTTCCCCTACTCTCCCTCCCTCTCAAATTCATAAGCTCTTTTTAAATTGTTCTTAGAGGCAGGATTCCCCAGAATAGTCCTGATGGCCTGGATCCTGCAGCCTTCCAAGATTACAGGTGTGAACTACCCCTGGTTTAGCAGAGTCATTTTTTTTTAATTAAAAAGTTTTAATATACCATATGGTCACATATATTTGGTCACATTCTTCCCATCCCCCACAAGCTCCCAGATCCCCCCCATCCCATTTCATATTCTTTTTCTCTCTTAAAAAAAAATACAAAACCAAAATAAACAAGGCACAAGAAGAAAAGAAAGAAAATAAGACAGAACAAACAAAACATGGATTCTGTTTTATATTGGCCAACTATTCCTGAGCATGCAGCCTGCCTGGCATGTGGTTAATACTTTAATTAAATGAAATAGATTTCTCCCCTCCTAGTAGCTCTCAGTTGCAAATAACTTCTTGGTTCGGGGTGGGACTCAATGCCTGCTTCCCCTTCTCCATGCTGGGATTTTGTCTGTTTGGAATTTGTACAGGTCTTTTGCGTGATCTGAGTTAAGGTTTCTACTGCTATGACCAAAAGCAACTTGGAGAGGAAAGGGTTTATAGACTTTACATATCCTGAGTCATGGTCCACGGAGGGAAGCCAAGGTAGGAGCTCAAACCTGGCAGGAACCTGGAGGCAGGAGCTGATGCAGGGGCCATGAAGGAATGCTGCTTATTGGCTTGTTCCTCATGACTTGCTCAGCCTGCTTTCTTACAGAACTCAGGTACCAGAGGTCATACCACCTACAGTGGCCTGGGCCCGCCCCCATCAATCACTAGTTAAGAAAATGCTCTAAAGGCTTGCCTACATCTGATCCTGTGGAGGCATTTTCTCAACTGAGGTTTCTTCCTCTCAGATGGCCATAGCTTTTGTCAAATTAGTATAAAACTAGCTAGTACAAGGATGCTGTCACAGTCTCTGTGAGCTCATCTGTGCATTGGCCCTGTCGTGTCTTGGAGACGGCGTTTCTTTGAAGTTGTCCACCACCTCTGGGTCTTAAAATCTTTCATATTCTTCTTCAGTATAGATCCTTGAGTCTTGGAAGGAGGAGTTGGATAAAGACATCCCATTGAGTGCTCAAAGGTCTCTGTCTCTGCACATTTTCTGTTTTTAGGTCTCTATGTTAATTACCGTCTACTCTAAGAAGAAGCTTCTCGAAGTGGGTTGAGAAGGGCACCAGTCCACGGGGTTTAGCTATGTGTGATTAGGAGTTGTTTATTGTTGTGTTGTTCATTTAGCAGAATAATTGCAGTAGATTCCTTAGAGCCCATGACCTATCTAGTCTCAAGTTCTTGGCCTCACTAACCATCTCGGGTATGGGTCCTATCTCATGGAGCTGAGCTTATAGCCCATCAAAAGCTGGTTGGTTTCTTCTATAACATTTGTGCCACTATGGCCCCAGTGGGTATAGCTCTTAGGATCTGTAGCTGGGTGAGACTGATGATTACGCTTCTCCTTAGGGATTAAGTATATTACCTTCTAGCACTAAAAACACACTCGTCAGTAGCAGTGAAGCTTCTAGTTGGGCACCAGCTTCATTTCTCTGTTTGATGATATACTTGTGTGATATCTTCAGCAACAGGACCTTACCGTCAGGATTTCCTAATACTAACCCTGACGTATGTACAGCTGGTGAAGACCTTTTTCCATTCTGTAGGCCGTCTCTTTGCTTGATTGAAGGTGTCCTTTGCTTCCAGAAGCTTTTTATCTTTTAACTGAGTTATTTATTTTCTTGATGACCAGCTTTTTGAATACTTTATATATTGTAGACATTAGCCCTCTAGTGGATGTGAAGTTGGTAGAAACCTTTTCCCATTCTGTAACCTGGCACTTTGTCTGAATGATGGTGTCCTTTGCCGTATAGAAGCTTCTCAGTTCATGAGGTCCCATTTAATAATTGTTGATCTTAGTGCCTGTGCTAATGGTGTTCTGTTTAGAAAGTCTTTTCCTGTGCCAACGAGTTCAAGCCTATTCCCTACTTTCTCTTCTATAAGATCCAGGGTATCTGGCCTTATGTTGATGTCCTTGAAGCAGTTGGATTGGAATTTTGTGCAGGGTGCTAGAGATATGGATTTATTTTTATTCTTCTACAGGCAGCTTTCCAGATTTAACTATTTGTTTTCCAGATTTAACTATTTGTTTGTTTGTTTTATTCTTTCTTTCTTTCTTTTTTTTTTTTTTTTTTTTGAGACAGGGTTTCTCTGTGTAGCTTTGGAGCCTCTCCTGGAACTCACTCTGTAGACCAGGCTGGCCTCAGATTCACATAGATCCACCTACCTCTGCCTTTCAAGTGCTGGGATTAAAGGTGTGTGCCATTACTGCCTGGCAGCTATTTCTGAAGCATAGAAATTTTATACTTTTCGCTTTACTATGTAGGTTATGATCCACTTTTGATTAATTTTTTTACATGGTGGGGAATTAGCGAAGGTAGAGGCTCTGCTATGTCTTACAGGTGTCTAGTTCTAGTTATTTCTCTCCTGGGAAGGCAGTCTGGGCTTTTTTTGTTCCCTGGTCTCATTCTGACATTCTGAATGGGTTCACTAATCCATATCTTTCTTGTACTGTCTTGAATACTAGTGTTTCATAATAATTTCAAAGCAGCAAATTTCCCAACATTATTCTTTAAGTAATTTTTAAATTATAAAATTAAACTATAGTTATAGTCAGGTATGGTGGGCACATGCCTTTAATTCTATCACTCAGAAGGTAGAGGTAGACAGATCTGTAGACCAGGCTGGCCTAGAACTCATAGAGGTCCACCTGCCTCTGCATCCACACACAATCTTCCCATCCATGTGATAGAAGGTGCTTGTATTAGTCAGGGGTCTCCAGAGGAACAGCACTGATAGGATGAATATCCACTTATGGGACTTATTAGAGTGGTTCACAGGCTGTGGTCCAGCTAGTCCAACGGTGGCTGTCTACTGATGGAGAACCTAAGAGTCCAGTAGTTGTTCAGTTCACAAGGCTGGGTGTCTCAGCTGGTCTTCAGTATCTGGAATTCGGAAGAAGTAGGCGCTAATGTCAGGGAAGGAATAGACTTGCAGGCAAGATCAAGAGAAAGCAAGCAACGAGAGCAAGCTTCCTTCTTCCATGTCCTTTATACAGGCTACCAGCCGAAGGTGCAGCCCAGATTAAAGGTGGATCTTCCCACCTCAAGAGATCTGGATTAAAAGTGGTTTTTTTTTCCACTTTAAATGATTTAATTAATAAAAATTTCTCACAGGTGTCCCCAGCTGCTGGGTTTTAGTTAGAGGTCATCAGAATCCCAGAAGAACAGCCATCTCAATGCTCTAGTTACCACACATGGACCAGGCAGCTGTCCAGGGATGAGCAAGGCTCAGAAGGAGAGCAGTGGCATGCCCGTTTAGAAGGGGTAGCTCTGATTGTCTGGGCCGCAGTCCAGGTGCTCAGGCAGGGCCCCGAGCTCTCCTCCAGCTACAGGCAGGAGAGTGCAGTGGTGGGAACTGTCGCTGGTCCTCGTTGAACTTCAGTTCCCTCATCTGTATAGAGTCCACGAACCATGACAGCTGCTCCTTTGTGCAGCTGCTCCTCGGCTTGTAGACAAGAGCCCCAGAGACCAGGTCACAGGACCGGGTTCTTGTAGTTTGATGCTGATGCTGCACCCAAGCCCATGATTATCATCCACAGGGATGCTGGCCACAGTGAATTGGAATTAACAAAGGAAATAAAACTTCTCAGCTCTGTGATTGGTTCATGAAACATGGTGCTCAGGGCCCAGACCCTGTCCTGCCTCAGAACCCTGGCACCACTAAGCCCGAGCTGTCTTAGTTGTGGAAGAAGCCCAGGGGTCTCCCTGGTTCTTCGGTGTGCTTTGTACAGTCAGGGCCAAGAGCTGCAGGAGTGGGAAGGACGTCTGCACCCAGGTTGCCATGAGGGTAAGAAGGCAATGGGCATGAAGTACACTTACATGAGCAGCCCTTGCTTATTGTCCAGTGTTGCCTCTGTGTCACCCCCATGTCAACACCAGGGTCCCTGTGTCTTCTCCGTGACCTGACCCCACTCAGGGAAGCATCCCAGGGACTCAGCCCGTCCACTCCCCATCTGTCTGGGGCAGTGTCTTCACCCGGCTAAGCTCCTTTATGAGCCTAATGGGAGCCTGTTTCCCTGCAGTGGGAATCTGTCTGGGAAGATGGCTGGTAGGGCCCGCAGGGCCTCACTGAAGACTTGGCCATGAAGCCTTTCCAGTTGGAATGACCTCAGGCAGTCTGACCAGAAAGGACTTTCTCCTTCATTGGACATTTGGACAGGTGTCTGAAGAACTACTGTCCCTGTCCTAAAGGGTGCCAGAGGCTACTGAGGCAGGTTGCAGGGATACAGATAATGTGACCACAGTTGTGGCCATCGCCTGGAGGGATGAGGAGTGTGGAGGTGAAGCAGAGGGGGACAGTTGTAGGAACTTGCCTTGTCAGGGGAGAAGCGTGCCTGAAAAGTGTGTGTGAGTGTCACGTCTGTTGGTGCATCGTGCATGCGTTGTGTGTGGTTAAAGACCTGAAGAGAGAGAACTGTCTGAAAATGAAGGTTACATTGTGAGGCCTAAGGGCGCGCATGCCAGGGCAGGGCCATGCAGCCCTCTCTTTAGGCTCTCCTCTGTTCTCCAAGTCCTTCCTGGGCTAGAGGTCACTTGGGGCCATATATAGTCTGCTCATATGTCTGCCCAAGTCACATGGACCACAACCAGGACTAAATGGACCTGCCTGAGGCTTTGCTGCAATGGCTACACAGCCCTTGGGAGGTCATCCCATGTGAGCCAGTAGCAAGCTTGCAGCCATTTTCTAACTTCTGGCTGCTGTTGGTTCTCACGGTGGGGCCAGATGAATCAGGCAAAGGTTCCTGTTTCCTTCTGCTGGAAGCTGCCCTGACTAAAGTCCACACCTGTCTTGGTCTATGAGCAGATCAAGGAGGATTTAGAAGGGTAGCCAGGTGGTTAGATGCAGCTACACCCTGGGCAGAGCGGCACAACTGTGAACCTCAGGCCCAGGGCCACTCATCCCTCTTCTGGTTCTCCCGACATGGCTACTCAGGCCTCATCTGCTGCTAGCCTCACTAGTGTGTCGAAGGAGGGAAGGCTGTTTTCCCAGTTCTCAGTGTCTTAGGAAAGAGAGGCAGTCCAGAGCCCCACCATGGCGAAGGCAGTGTGGCCTGCCAGATTGCACAGTGTTCTGTCGGTGGTAGTTGTTCCCGTGGTCTGATAGTTGTTCCTGTATGTCAGTCCTGCAGACGCCTGCACTCTGTGTGCCTGGGACATCGGCCGTCTGCAGCACCTCTCTGCACTGATGTGACTCAAACCGTCCCCCCCAGTATCAAATCATACATGGTTTGAATCCATCTATCTCTGCCTTTATTCCCAGCAGAGACATTGGGCAGATCCGCTGGCTATTTCCCTTGTGAGTCGGCCGCCTCAGGAAGTCACTAAGCCCCAGGACACAGTGGCAGCCAGCGTGACTAACCTCTGATAGAGTGCTGAGAGCATTCTGTGCCGCTCTGGGGCTGTCAGGTCTGGGTCTGAGTCGTGACCCTTCTGTAGTCTCCTGAAGAGTGTGCAGGTACACAGCTCCCAAGTGACAAATTCCTGGGCACAGAGCTGCCCGAGCTGGCCCTCTGTATTAGCTTCCTTCCCTTCAGAGTGCTGGGTTCCAGGCTGAGCTCTCTCTGATGTCATCTCCTCTGCTGCCTCCAGTACGCCTGGGTGGAGAAGCACTTCGGCCCTGACTTTCTGGAGCAGATTGTATTGACCAGAGACAAGACCGTGGTCTCTGCTGACCTTCTCATAGATGACCGGCCGGACATCACAGGCAAGTAGTCTCTGGCCGGGGGAAGCTGGGTAGCCCTAGTTGCCTTCTCCCTTCTCCCACATACCTCCTCCGGGGGTCTCCTCATCTCACATACCCCTTTACCAGGTGTTTATCAGCACCCAGTCAGGGGCTTCTTCCTGTTGGAAAGGCCTGCCTGCACCCTAGGGACAGGGGGCTACTGGAAGCCAGAATGTCTGTGCCTTTACCCAGACTTAGTTTACTCTGTTGACTCCTGAGTGAAGAACCCAGCTTTGGTTTCAAACCTTTGTGTTTAGTAACTCCCTGCCCCCTCTTCCCCTCAGGTAGTGCAGGCAAGTCTGTTACATAATAGGAAATCACAGTATGCTCCATGGCTGCCAGTGGCTTGTTCTTTTTTCGGCTCCAGCTAATGACCCCTTCCCAGAAAACAAGCAAGCCGCTAGCTTGGCTCACTTAACTGACGCGGTAGGGTAGAGGGAGGGCTTCGGGCGTGGTGGGATTTGGGAGTTCCATTAATCAGCCCACACTGTTTTGTGCCTCCTGGATGTCTTCTGCCTGGTTTTGCCGCACTGTGGGCAAGCTGTTTCCTCCTAGTAGTTCTTTGGAGTTGCAGGTAACAGCTTGTTCTGGACACATTGGTAGGAAAACAGTTTCTTCCCCCGCAAAGTCTTCCAGAGGCTTAGGGCAACATGACCCATGGACTTCAGCCACAGGAACTAGTAGGTCGTCACTTCAAAGAGGTTGAGGCACAGTATGGAAGGAGATCCGTACTAGTAACTGCAGGGCACACAGTCCTGGGCTTCCCAATTTAGGTGGTTGGCCAGGCCGAGCAGTAATGACAGCCCTATCAGCCACCTCATGTGGCTCACTTCCTGTGTGTTGCACAGAGCACATTGTGCACCGCGCCTTGTTTTACCCTTATGCCTTTTGTAGGGCAGGCTAAGAGCATCCCTTTGCAGACAGAGAAACTGAGTCAGGAGAGGCACGGCACTTACTGATAGGGCTCATGACTGATCCCAGGCTTTGCACTGAGGCCCTATTTCCCTCCACAGGGGCCGAGCCACACCCCAGCTGGGAGCACATCCTCTTCACCTCCTGCCACAATCATCACCTGCAGCTGAAGCCCCCTCGCCGGAGGCTGCACTCGTGGGCAGATGATTGGAAGGCCATCTTGGACAGCAAGCGGCCCCGCTGAGGGCTGCACTGCGGCTCTCTCGTGGTCCAGTGTGGGGCTCGCAGCTCATGACTGGACAGCAAGCAGTTTGCTGAGGGCTGTGCTGCAGCTCCCTGGCATTTCCTGGAGGACCCAATGGATCCTTGATCAAGACAACCTCTCGACACACTCCCCTTCCTCTCCTGGCCCAGTCCTTTACCTGATCTTGGGGCAGGGCTGGGAGAAAGGCATTTGCTCTCGGGCAACTTGGCCTAGCCTTAGGCAGGGGCCATGCCACTGCCTCCCACTGCTTACAATAGGGTGTTCTCTAAGGAACGGAGGGGCCCTGGTTCAGCATCTGTGGCCTTTGCAAGGTAAAGAGTGCCAGGGGCAGATGACAGAGGGTCCCCTGGTGGACATGAGCCCTTTCAACTCTAACATGGCGCCTTGTCCAACTTGCCCACTTAGTCTGTTCTCTCTCCTCCTGGTGTTCAGTGGCCACCAGGCTCTCTTGGAGGCCAACAGTGACCCTGCCTATGGCTAGTGCTGTGGTCTCTTTCCCTGGTGTCCCTAGATCCTATTCACGGCCCAGCGAGGAGCCAGCAGGCTTGATCATTTGTTGACCATGTGAGAAACAAATGCCATTCACATGTAGCTGCGGCCTTCTCTAGCACCTGCCCCAGAATGATCTCGTGTCCACCAGCCTGTGATGTAAGCATCTGGGAGTCCCCCATGGACAAACAGAGGTGGGCATAGCTCTCCTTTGTGGTCCTCACGTGGTACCACGTGGGCACAAGGGCGAAATGGCCTCAGTGCAGCACAGCTGGCAGCCTGACGGTTCCTTTTGGTCCCATTCGTCTGAGGGAGGCCCTGCTTCCCTCAAGCCCAGTACCTCACACATGTTCTCCTAACCCTGAGTCAGGCACAGGGCCTTCTCTATGCTTTCCTCAAGGCCAAGTTTCCATAGGCCTAGAAGCTGTTGTCACAGCCTCAGTGCGTGTTCCTTTTGGGCTGGGTCCTTGGGAGGTGACACTTGAACCAACTGCCCCCCCTCCTTGAGAATTTATAAACGGTGCCATTGGAGACCAGCTGCATCCTCGGAACCCTTACCAGAGATGGGCTGGAGACCAGCTGCATTCTCAGAACCCTTACCAGAGATGGGCTGGAGACCAGCTGCATCCTCGGAACCCTTATCTGAGATGGGCATGATGACACACACCTGTTTTCTCGGCACTTAGGTTGGCACAGGAGTGTTGCTGTGGGTTCAAGACCAGTTAGGGTTGCATAGCAAAGCCCTGTCTAAAAACATTAAAAACCAGGACCCCAGTTTGTTTCCTGGCCTTCATACTATGCCTTCAGCATCTGTGGCAGGTGATCTTCTGACTGCCTAGGAACCGGGCTAGGTAGACAAAAAAAAAAAAAAAAAAATGTGGGCGAGAACCCTGCTTTCTTTTTGTCTTAAGAGCTAAGCCCTGTCACCCAGGCTAGGTAGGGAGGTCCAGGACATCCACCACCCAGTCTGGAGAAGGATGCCCCAGAAACCTACTGCTTGAGCCCCTCTTGCCTTGGCCTTATGTAGCTTTCCATAGTACCTCCTCACTGTTATCCCTTGGGCTGGTTGGGGGGCCGTGCCGGAAACGTGGCAGTTGTGTCTCTTGATCCTGGAACTCTGGCTCAGGCAGGGCAGCATCTGGTGATGCCTTGACCTGGGGGCCTGGAAGAAAGCCAGTCCCTGGAGTGTGAGCTCTGTGCCTGCTCCAGAGACCCTGTGTTATCTGACGTAAGATCTCACTCCCGCCCGCCGTCTATGCAGGACCAGGAAACAGTGTGATAAATGAGGTGGGTGAGCTCGTTCCTGTGACTCCTGCTGGCTGGGCCCCTGCTGGCTGGGCCCGGCTCTCTCTTTCCTGTCAGCCATACGGTCTGCTTTCCCGTGATCCCTATGCTGCCAAATGCCAAGTCTCCTCTTAGAATGACCTGGGCGGTCTGGAGCCTCGCAGCCTCTTTACTGGTGACCTTCAGTGACAGGTTGGGGATGGTCTGTCATGTACCTCCTAAGTACCTGAGCTTTTGCCAAGTCAGGTCACAGCAACAATTGAGGCTCACTCAGCCCTGCACTCAGCCCTGCGCTCAGCCCTGCCTTGAAAATACTGTGTGTGATTCTAGTTCAGGAAACAGAAACCAGGGCCGCTCGTTGCTATCCAGAGTCTGCCCTGCCAATGACGGACAACCCTGCTGTCTTAGTTAAGGGTACTCGTGCTATGATGAAACACCATGACCAAAAAGAAAGTTGGGGAGCAAAGTATTTATTTGACTTATTCTTCCAGTTGTAGTCAGTCCATCCCTGAGGGAAATCAGGACAGGAACTCAAACAGGGCAGGAACCTGGAGGCAGGAGCTGATGCAGAGGCCATGGAGGGGTGCTGTTTACTGTCTTGCTCAGCCTGCTTCCTCATAGAACCCAGGACCATCTACCCTGGGACGCCACCAAACACAATGGGCAAGCCCTCCCCCATCAATTACTAAGAAAATGCCCTACAGCCAGATCTTATGGAGGCTTTTTCTCAATTGAGCTTCCCTCCTTTCATATAGCTCTATCTTGTGTCAAGTTGACGTAAAACTAGCTACCACAACTGACCCCTTGTCAACTGGACACCCAAATCACAAAGCCACACCTTTCCTTCCTTCTTCATCCCCAAGATCACACATTAATATGGATCTCACAATCTAAAATATTTCAAACTTCCCCACTGCCTCACAGTTTTGAACATTTATAATATCCAAAGTCTCAACCGTGGATTTCTATAAAATAAAAAAATAAGTTATTGTTTTTTTTTTTTTTACATCAAGAAGGAAGAGCCAGGGCATAGTCATAATCTGAACAAAGCAAAACAAAACTCCAGCTTTAAAAACTCGGTGTCTAATGTCTGGGATCCACTCATGGTCCTCTGGGCTCCTCCAAAGGGCTTGGGTCACTTCCCCAGCTCCGCCCTCTGCCGCACACACAGCTCGTCTTCTAGGCTCCTGCTGGCTCCACTCCACTGCTGCTGCTGCTCGTGATCACCCCGTGGTACTCGCATCTCCAAAATGCTTGGGTCTTCTGCAGCAACTGGGCTGCACTTTCACCAATAGCCTCTCCTGGGCTCTCTTCATGGTGCCAAGCCTCACCTTTCTTAATGACCCCTTCAATCCTGAGGCTTCCACTGGTACCCCAGCTGCACCGTCACCAGTGGCCTCTCCTGGTCGACACAGTGCCAAGCTTCAGCTGCTCTCCATGACCCCTTCATTTCTTCAGAACAAGTAGCATTTGGAAGACTCTTACACAGGACCCAGTCTGGCTGCCAGCACAGGGCCCAACCTTGGCCACCTCTGGAACAGGGAGAGTTTCTGTGTGCTAACTCCAAAGGAAATACTTCCCAGAAGACTTCACCCAGGTGACACTGGTCTCTTCTCAATCACCGCTAATTTCTTATCTCCAGCTGGCCAGCACTGATTGTCCTGGCAAAAGGAAGGGTTCTCTTTAGTGCTTCTGGGTCTCTTGTTAATTAGAGCTGATTCTTCAGCCCCTGCTGACCAGACACTGCAGATTCCTCACACAAAGGCTGTCTCTGCTGGATGCTCAGCCATATGGGTGTCCTAGGAAGGGAATGAGATCGTATAAGTCAGGGTTTTCTAGAGAAACAGAATGGAGAGAATGAATATATATTGCAAGGGGATTTATCAGAATAGCCCGAAGACCGTGGTCCATCTTGTCCAAGAATCTGATAGTGTTGGGGGGTAATCACCGGAGAAGACTGCTCAGACTTGGCTTTAAGTCAATGGAAAGTCTTCGTTAGCCGACTGGAAACTACACTGGGTGTTCAGGGTTCTGGTGTAGCCTCAGCCTTTCTCAGGGTGAGCTTTGAAGAACAAAAGCCATGTTCTGGGCTGACATACTTAAGCAAACAAGAATAGCTAGCCAGGAGTGGAACTACAGAAGACAGAAAGCAAAGTTAGTACGCTTAACGTCTTCCTCAGAACTATATGGACTTTGATGGACGAGAGCTATATTTTAGTTTTGGCTGGTGGTGCTGTCTACATGCTGAATTTTACAGCCTGAATAGTGCTTAGTTGTGCTAATGTCTGGAGCCCTGTTACAATAGTTGTTCAGTCCACGAGGCTGAATGTCTCAGGTAGCCTTTAGCATATCGTTGGAATCCCAAAGAAGTAGCTTCTAATACCAGTGTAGGATGGTCACGCAGCAGAATAAATGTGCTTGCCGGTGAGTGAGGGCAAGCACGCAACGAATTTCCCTTCCCACGTGTACAGAGGCAGTTATCAGAGGGCGTGACCCAGATTTAGGGTGGGTCTTCAAATGATCCAGTCAAGAAGGAGCTCTCAGAGGTGTGCCCAGCTAGGATTTAGTTGATTCCAGATGTAGTACGTTGACAACTAAGATTGGACATCACAGTTCCACCCACTGTAAACCTGACACACCATCATGTCTCCTTAAAGCTTGCTTAATTTCCCAATGAAAACGATAGTGAGGTTGTTTTACACCTGACGTGATATAACTACCCCACGTACAACCGCAAATGCAGTATATGTTCAGAATAGGTGACAATGTCCCTTGAGGAATATTCTTATAGTGTCTCATAGTTTAAGTATGATAAATCTCAGGTGATGTTATCTG